GCATGATCCATAACTGTTGCTGCTAGGGCAGAGAGAACAATGGAAGCACTGGGCATGCCTCCGCGTGTTGTGGTGAGTCCCTCGGCGGTGCAGCTGGCGGGGATTCAACGCCCACGGACGTAACGCGATGCAGTAAGGCAAACAATCAAGCAGCCCTCCTACCTCCGCGCCACAGGTGCTCAAACCAAAAACATGTCACCGCTATACTCGAGACATCACGTCGAATTTTCATCGCGTGGCTTATTTACACTGTGATAACTGGTCGGTGGATATTTTTTCGGCGTGTAGGAAGATGTCAGGGGTAAACTTGTGTGCTGCTGCTTGCATTTTTGTCGTGGCTGGACGCTGTGACCCGCACTATTTCTGGCGCGGGGCGGCTCGCGGACCCCGGCAGACGATGTTTTTGAAGTCGATTTATCGCCCAGCGCGCGGTCGGAGACCTATTTCTGTCGAACCGGCGCGGTCCCGGCTGTCTTCAGTCTCACCGCACTGTCTGGGTGTGTTTCCACACCAAACAGTCGCCGTCTGGTCTGGAACTGTACGCTGACGCCGAGGCGCGACACGGGACGCGACTGTGCGCTGATGCCGAGGCACGGCACGGCGCGCGACACGGGGCGAGACTGTGCGCTGATGCTGAGGCGCGACACGGGGCGCGACTGTGCGTTGATGCCGAGGCGCGACACGGGACGCGACTGTGCGCTGATGCCGGCAGGCGCGACACGGGGCGCGACTGTGTGCTGATGCGGAGACGAAACACGGGACGCGACTGTGCGCTGACGCCGAGGCGCGACACGGGGCGCGGCTGTGCTCTGATACCGAGACGCGACACGGGGCACGACTGTACGCTGGCGCCGAGGCGCGACACGGAGCGCGACTGTCAGCACCCAGACACGTCAGAGGTGTGGCTGTTGAGCAGGGCTCGTCAGTTTTCCCGGGCTGTTGAAGCCAGAGCACAGGGATGTAGCTGCGGGCGCCGAGTCCCACAGCCGTCCCATCTGAAGAGCGTGAGGAGTTCATGACCGCGTCCGAGGATGGGTTGTTTATGCTGATGTATTGCGGGGCTGTGCCTCGAGCATCACGATGTCATGGGATAAAGCATGATGTCCAACAGTATTGTCTGGTGGCTGTTGAGTTATCACTGACAGCGATCGCTGCCTAAACAATGGCTGCCTTGGTTTAACGCCCACCTTTCCCTCGACCTCAACCAAAAGTGCATACCGTCACCTCATGACATTTGCTCTCACCATCTAGTTTCAGCCGATGCTTTTAGCCTGCGCACATTCACCCAGACTTTGACCCTTTAACAGAAACGCTTGAACCGCCACAGCTCACATGGTAATGCGATTCACGTCCACGACCCCCCCCCCCCCCTTCCCCCCGTCTGTTTGTCAACTGCAGATCTCGTTTACGTCGCAGGGGTGTCAGCCGTGATTTGGTCATGGCGTTTGGAGCAGCCTCTTTTCCGTGGCGACCCTGTGTAACCCTATATCAGGTGTTACTTTCAGAATGACGGCAAAGAATTACTCTCATTTGGAAACAAACAAACGCAGAAGGAAAAAGGCCATGATTGAAGACAGGCCTGTTAGCGGGATATTTTACGACCACTCACCAATGGAGCAATTTTCACCGTTTTTTGGGGGGGGGAGGGCAGGGATGGGAACAGCTCGTCTACTCTGCAGGCTCACGGCGGCTACGCCCGTGAACAGCTTCGTTCTGGACGCTTCTCTGTGTTCTCCACGAATAATGCGAGACGAATCTTCGACACCTCGGGTGGGGTCGGCCTAGGCCGCCGGGGCAAAGATCTGTCGACGCAGAGCAGCCACAGCCAATGTTCACTGTGGATAAATACAGTTCGCGACTCACCTCATTTTGTCCCTTGTTTATGGAGCGTCCGTGCCGAACTGAAAGACCGATTAAAAACTACTAAAAACCAAACTAAACTATTGAAGGCGTGAAACTCAGCAAAGAATTGATTAAAAATTCGGCGGCACATTTCAAAGTAACTTGTGGTTTGCGCGGTAACATCATGTTTTGCCTAACTCTTGTCATGCTGGCCCGAAGGCAAAGGCCGCGTCTCCCGGTGCCGCCGAACCGCGATACCGGCGCAGCTTATATCGACTGGCGTGAAGTCCCGGTCGGAAGTGTGCGTCGCACCCCGGCCCCCCTCAGGCCGCACGAACAGACGGGCTCGACGGCGGGCGTCGGGCGGGCTGGCCTGACCGCGAGCACCCTCCGTGGCTGCCGGAGCCGGGCCTGGGGCCGGCTGGCCACCCGGCCGGCGGTCGTTCACCAACGGCGCCGTAATGGACCGTGAAATGGGCGGCGACTTGGCTGGCGCAGCGGCGGCGGTGGCGGCGGCGGGTCAGCCTGGTCGGTGGGGTCCTGAGGCCGCGTCGGTTCGGAGCGCCGCCTCGACAGGGGTTGCGCACGTCCGACGCACTGTGAGTCAGAAGTGGCGGGCAGCGAGAATCGAATGCAGTGCTACTGACGAGACGAAAACCGAATCATCTGGCTTCCTGGCAAATTTGCATCACTGAACTTCCAGAATCTACAGCTTGATTGATGCGAGATACGGGACATTTTGTCATGAAATCCTGCGGCACTGACACTGTATGTTTTTCACATTGATACAGTGGACATATTTAGTTTTCAGTCATCGTTAGGTGTCGTGACAATTGTTCCAGGCGTTTCGCACGCCATCTATGCGAGAAGTGCGCATTAATTATTGTCGAAATCTATGCGCATAAAATGAAGGACGTTTTCGTTCTTTAAAGCCATGATGTATAATGTCGACTATTATGCATAATGAAGCATGATTCACAACTTTTCGGGATGCTCGTCTTAGTAAAGGTTTGGTCGAGTAGTACTGACTTCCAGTGGGAATGGAGGTTTGACACATGCGTCCCAGGTAATCGTTTCTGGCATCAGATCAAGTGCCTGAACCTGTCCATGACTGCCCCATCAAATAAGCGTCTGGACAGTTTTCCTGGACCTCACGCGATCCACCTCGGTGATATTCAAGTCCGTGGGCGCCCATCTGCCGGGTACACGGCATGACAGGACCTGTATGACATCACTGCGCCACAGTATGCCCCCGTTTGAGTGGGCTGGTAGCCACAATGCCGGCGTTTGAGCGAGCTGGCTGCTACAATGCCGCCTCACGCGTCGCGGCCCATGCGGCGCGCTTTGAACCCTTTGAGCGGCCCGCCAGCCGCCGCGCTCCCGGGGGAGTCGAGCCGAGCCCGGCGCGGGCATGCGCCGCCATGAGCTCCGCCCCACCGCTCGCTTCGCCGTCTGCGTGCTCGGCTGGCTAATGCAGCACATCCGGCAGCAGTTAGGCCGTCGGGAGTTTTCCGCGGCCCGGCGCCCGTCCGGTGACGCCGCGGCGGTCCTCGGCGTTGTGTTCCAGCGCCTGCGCCGCCTGTTTCTTGGTGCGCTCTGCGCTGCCTTCGCCGTGCACATGCTCCATCTCGTTGGACAATATGCATACAAATACACCAATAATGAGGTGTAAACAGGTAGCAAAGAAACAGATGAACACGTTGTCACTCCAGCTCGGCGTCACAATTCCCACGCCTTTTCCCACGAATAAAATGAAGCAGCAAATTCGTGATGGCCTAGTGACGTTGTCACCGATAAGAACTGAGTCCAAAAGAGCAACTAACCTCAGGCAAGGTGCTGCAGATTAGCCTCAAGCACGCGAGTTGGTTGCGGTGCGCAGCAGCCAGGGGACTGACACCGCGCAGCTATGTACGTTCACACGGGTATCGCGTGCGTGGCCCAGGGTACTCTGGCGTACTCTGCTGCAGCGGCGCCGTGACCGCCGTGTCCCTGGTCATCTTCCCATGTCGTGAGTGGCTGCAGGAGGACAGATATAATTACCCAGGCTCAGGGTGTAATCACGCCGTGCTTCTAAATATTTGTGAATCATGAGTTTTCATGCTGAAAACGACCGACGGTCATTGTACTAGGAGGCGTTGCGGGTAAATGAAGACACCAAGCAGTCATCGTTATGCTGCGTACCGACGGCTGTTGTGCAATGCTAAATGTCAGGCTTGACAGTTCGAATTAATACTCGACGTTTGAAGCTCGCGGCAGTGTTCGACGCCACTCGTGACCATGATCAATGCCTTGGAACTTCGGGACGTATCATTAATAGCATGATATATTCGTGTAACTAGTACCTGCTGCGTACTGGCGGTCGGCTTTTCAGCATGTAGACTCGATGCAACGAAAAATCAGTGGCTTAAGGCCTTTCTTGCCTAATCAAGTGTAAACAATTACATGGTATAGCCGCGTTCAACATTCCTGTTAGCCACCGCAGACGCTATTCTCCCGTAAATTTTTAGCAGTTTTTGGTGGCAAATAACAACGGTGGCACGATTCGCAAAATGCAGCAGGCGTCTTGTACACGTTTGGCGGTGTTTTCCCGCCGCGGAAGCTAATTAGCTGAGGTGACTCCAGTTTCTTAGCATTTAGCCGTTCCAGCTCATCTTTATTTTATTGTTCTTGATATTTCCGTGCAAGGAGTTCAAGGAGTTGTGTGTAACGCACGACAAATTCACAGGTATTACAGTCAACCATGAACTAGCACCACCGTGCCACATCGTCAAGCTCTGAGTCGGACTCACATTGCCAACCTCGACCGTCAGTCCACCAACTCCACGCTGTGTATTCGTGCTGTTCGTGCGTGCCTGCAGCTGCTTGATAGCGACTGCCCATGACCTCAAACCCTCCGCACTGACCCCGGGTCACGAGCTGGCGCTGTGCTGCGCTCTCCGGTGGGTGAGCTGTACCACCCGGTGTTCTGTGGCCCGGTGCGGCGTTCTTCCTTTGGGGGATAGTGTGCAGTGTGGTGTGGTCTGTGTTGTGCTCCACTGTTTGATAAGTAGTCTCCAGTTACGCATGTCTCGTGGCCCGGTCTCATGCTCCACCGTGGGCGAGACCCCGCTGGAGAACCTGGCCGTCTTGTGACCGGTGGTTCGTTCCGCCGCCGCCAGGTGGTGTTTGCCCTGAATCAGACGCTGAACCAGCACGAGAACATCCGGGCCGGCCAGGGGGCGCCACCCTACACCACCGAGGACCTTATCAAACACTACAACTGCGGCGACCTGGACGAGGTCATCTTCCGGCGCGACTCATCCCAGATACCGGTGAGAATCATCGCACGTGCCGGGGAGAATTTCACCATCCACCCAGTGACGACGCAAAACTTAGATGTTTAGAAGACATGGACTGTGTCACCACGCTAATCACATCCTGCATGATAGCTACCATCGCGACTTGTGCGTGCGTTCTGGTGAGCGTCGGTAATGAAGGTTTACTGTGACAGCTTAGTGGAACTGATGAAACCAGCCGACATGGAGTAACTCCCACCACCAGGTGCTCCTGAGACCATGTACTCCCACGAACGGTGCAGGCAGTTGCAGATACTGGTGGGAAGCCCCAGATGTTCTTGTGAAGGTTTTTGCGTGGTTAAGTTGATGAATTCTTCCATCCTAACAATAAGGCATTTACGATGCGTTAGCAATTGATAGCTATTCCGGCCATCAAGTTCCAAAATTTATTCTAAGCGAATATTCTGGAAATGGTCGTGCATTAAGATCACATAGAGTTGTGGCCTAAAACTCAGGACAAATGCATTTACTCTAAAAGGTCCGCTTACGGAGCATGCGAAGGCTTTGCACGCATTAATGCGTAAGATCACTGGCTCGAAATGCATGCCAACACAATCGTGTGCACCATTACTTCCGTTTTGTGTTTCACTTTTTGCAACATTGCAGTTGTCTTGAAAAGATGTGGCTTGGTTGTGGAAGTCAAGACCCTAGGACTAAAAAACAGCATGTCAAATTAGACCGCATGACGTGTGCTCATTCTTTCGAGTGCAAAACCTTGAGACTTCCGACTTTTACCGCGGATTTTCTGAGAAAGAAGACGCATATTTTTTTAAGATGTTTCCTGTCAGAACGAAACAAACTGAATAGCAGTAAACAGCTTGGCATGGCATTTAACATCATAAGATACGAGACAGTCCATGTCCATAGTGGTCACATCTGCCGCTTCAACAGCTGAACAAAGAGCGGATAGACCTTCACACGTATCGCCGCATTACGCGGGCTTTAATGTTTGTGGTGATCGTACGACGAGAGCCGATCGGTGGCTCACCATGCGCGTAAGCACGACCCTTCGTAAGGCTAAATGTGTCGTACTATACGGAAGACGCCAAGAGACGTTCGCTCCCAGGGCCCACACCACTGGCCACCACCACCGCCATTTGATCTCACCTCCTCCTGGACCTGAGGGACATATATTAAGGAATTCGTCTGCTTGCTGAATGAATTAGTATTGCACCGTTTCGTGCAATTTGGCTCGGATGGAACATTTCTCCATTGCCGCGATGCTTCATCCGGAGAATCGCGCGCGCAGCCCCCACCCAGGGGCCGACAGTTACCCAGCTGTACACGGCGACTGTCCCGATGCTGGCCGTGATGAAGCGCCCCGCCGGCGCCTGCCTGGTTCGCACGCTACGTGGACTAACTTTCGACGCGCCCCCCGGGCGGACGAGTCTATTACGCCAGCCCGTGTATGGCCGAGCCCATTCCGGCATAATTGGCCGTCCGATCGGCTCCCGCCGCCAGAGATGGGAACGGTCATTAGCAGCCGGCAGGGGCGGCCGTTTGAAGCGGTCCGGTTGGTGGCGATCTGGCGGAATGAGCTCGCAGCATCGCCTGTCCGGGTTTTTCATGCCGTAAAACACCGGCCGGCGGCCACTGGCCTGACCAGCTTTTTACCGCCTCCTAATCGGCGCAGTTTATGAGGCAAATTGGCGTGATGTCGGTGAGCTCGCTTTCAGCTATCTCGTTTTGCAAGAAACTGATTTGAATCGCCGGGTGAGTTTTTGTTTGGAGTTAAGTGCATATGAGATCGCCCATGCAAGGTTCTTTGTAGCTTATATGAACGCTGAATGGTTTGCTTTGCCCCTTATTTCTTCACGAGCTACTTTCCAATCGTAATTTTTTAAAAATTCACAGGCTATCTTGCTGGTGTCTGATCATCTTTATTTAGATAACAAGATCAGCCGAATAATCCATATAGATATGGCCACATGCATCCTTTGGTACACGCCGATTTCATCCCGTTACCTGTTCACCCTTAGACCGTACAACCCGTATGGAACGCTACATACCGTCCGTATGCAAGGCGCGCATGGTTGTGATATATTCTTTCCAACCATGCATGACCTCTGGGTCTGCAAACATTTCGGCAGCGTTTTCGCGCTTCACTCACTCAACACGCACACATTGCTCTTCGCGCCCGATAGAGCGCACACTAGAGGAGACGGGAAATGGGCACACGTCGTGTTTTATAACCCATCACAGTTTTTCGGGGTCCAGACTAATTTTGTGCAAGATTTCTACGTTTCTCAAACAACTGGGCGTCGGACCTGTTTCGAAGATTCAGCTCATGCCGGACGTCCTCCAAGAATGCTGGAAGCGTGCAGCGGTAACTGCGGCGCAACGCTAACGTTCCCGCGGGATGTTCATGTCCGCGAGAACCGTCGCGCCGTCGTTGCATCACCGGGGTTAGTGAGCCGACCGCGGCGTGGAGGGGGGGGGGTTAGGGGGCGACCCTGACTGAACGCCAACCCACGCGTGTGCGCGCTGGGTGCGCGCGACCGCCGGCCCGCGGTGTTTGTATACGGGCGTCGCCGTCGACGACCCCCGCGCCGCCGCAGTGGAGACATGTTCCAGGCGGGTCCCCTGCCGGCCGCCAGGTACGTAAACAGGGGAGCCTCCCCTCCCCACATCCGCTCGGCGGCGTCCGCGCGCTGTGAGGAGGTGCTTACCGTCTGCAGTCCCAGAGCTGACTTCAGGCTGGTGACTTGTTGGACACCGAATGATCACCTATGGCAAAACGCCGCCTGCGTTCACCGATTTACGTAAAAAATAATTTTGGTCAAGTTTTCAAATGTAAGCGCATTGCGCTGAATGAATGGCTCTAATTTTGCAATGTGTTACGACATTCGCCGCGTTACCGGTCTCGGACAAAATCATTGGTACAAAAATCGGTAGTCAATGGGAACACATGCCACCAGGCGTTCTCTGAGTGCAGGAGGAGAGGTATGGCCTCGCCATTAATGCATTTGGTCGCGTCAAGTTTGACTGTATGAATCAGCTGTACTGGTGACTCCCAAACAGCCTCTTCGTCTTCTCTCTTGTTACGTACTTCCCAGAAACGCACGCCCCCGCCCCCCTGTCCCGTCATCGCTACCCTCCAGCGTCCCTGTTTCTGCTGTCAACGCTTCGACGCACATCGTCGACAGCGACGGCGATATTGCACGGCGCCGCTGTCGCGTCGCTGGCGTCGACGGCAGCCAGGCGACGGGGCGGCGAGGCGTGGCACGGGATCATCGCGCGAGCGCGCCCGACCGCCGCGCCGACCGGGCCCTCCCGGCCGGCGCCGGACCAGGGCCTGCTCGGCGGCCGCCGGACCGGGCCTGCTCGGCCGGCCGCCGGGACCGGGCCTGCTCGGCCGGTCGCCGGGCCGGGCCTGCTCGGCCGCGCGCCCGCGCGCTGCGTACCATATGGGCTGCTGGGTGGTCGGACGGGTCGGGTTCGGACGAACACGGATGGACACGGACGGATGCTGACAGATGCGGGTGAGTAGACCCGAGCAGATCTAGACCAATCCCGATGACATCGTGGTATGTTCGGTTATCATACGGAAGGCCCAGTGGGGATCCGAAAGGAAACGGGTGGAACTGAACAAAATCGGATGGATATAAACAGACCCGGGTGGAACTGAACAGACTTGGATGGATATAAACATACCCGGGTGGAACTGAACAAGCTCCAATGGATACAAACAGCCCCGGGTGGAATCGAAGGACTCGGATGAGTACAAAGAGAGGTTCGGGCGGAATGAAACGGACGGAAATCGATATTTTTATTAGATTGTGGTGCAGCCCACTTCAAGGAATGGTAGCTTAAATGTTGGGTAGATGAGAAGGGGTGCGGAAAGGGTCAATAAGCTGCAGGTGTGTATATGGGGCGATCACATGGTGCAGGGATGTCAATAGGGTATGCACTTGATAAATGTGTACCGGCATTAATACAGACGCACATTATCATTATCACATGCATTCGCTCAGGCATGTTGTTCGTTAATGAAGACTAATTAGCCTATCATGTCGCTGTTGTTAAGGACTGTGGTGTCTGGTGCCCAAATATGCGTGTTTCTTGGTTCATTTTTGATATTTTGCACTGTCAGTTATTTTTTTTTCTACGCCGTTACCCAAGAACAGGTAACCGGGAGTGCCCCTCCCTCAATCCCAGCGACGCAGTAAACCGTACGTTAACACCAGAAAACATAAAATCAAGTCGCGGCACTCCCAGCTAGGAAGATGAAACAAACTTTAAAAAAAACAGGCGAGGAGGTGGAGCAGACCCGAGGGAATTGTGTTATGTGAGAGGGAGGGAAAAATCATAGATGAAAAGGCTTAAAGTAGTCATTAGCCAAAATCAGCTAATGACAGCCCGCTACAACCGCCCAATAATCTACAACCACTCAATTCCCGGTGTTAGTAAGGGTTATACAGTCACAAGTCGGAGGGGGCAATTACCTGGTCATTTTTGTGCCGGGTTTTGGGCTGGATTTCCAGGGAGTCCACCCAGCTAAGCAGAGCTTGTTGCTGGGAGAACTCCCGGAGCCAGCGCCATTAATTTGGGTATATGTGCATGACTTTATATCAGAAATTGATTATGAAACATGAAGGAGGTCAAATATGAAGTGCGTTGGATATGTACAGCACAAGGATGGCAATGTCTTCAAATATGTTTGTTACGTTAATATGTGTTCACGAAATGCTTGCGGATGATGTTCTTAACGATGGTTTTCGATACAGGGATATCAGCTATTCTTGGAAAATATGGAACCATAATGTCGTTCCACAGCTTAGGGCCAAGGCAGGATGCTGTAAATCGTCTATAATTACGATAAGAGAAAGGTTGTTCTAAATGTTTTGCTCGCCTCATATCCATGTCATTGGATTCGTAGAGATTGTAAATTAAATCGAATGATGCAGGGAGCTGTGAAGTTAAAAATTTGTGCATCACAATTAACATTTGAGATTTAGCAATATCCGATAGTTTCAAAATTTTGTATCGTTTAAAGATTGGCTCTGAGCTTTGCGGAGGATGCACATTTTCTATAAGACGCACAGCCCTTTTTTGCAAAATTACCAATCGATCTAGTTGAGAAGCATAATTTATGCCCCAAACCAAGCAGCAGTAATTTAGGCAAGGAAGAATCAAAGTGTTACAGAGTAGATGTGACGTTGTTTTATCAATAAAGTACCTAACCCCACTTATTATTCCAATATTTCTACTTACTATGCTTGCAACAAAATTAGTGTGGCTTGTAAACTTAAGAGATTTGTCAATGATTACACCAAGGTATTTAATTTCTTTTTTCTCTTCAATGGGTGAACTATTAATTTGCACATTTAGTCGGAAATGCGAAGAAAGGGTTGTGTAATGCTGTGTGAATGTTTTTGATACGTTCAGAGAGAGAAAATTAGCAGCAAACCAAGAAGTCATTAGAAGCAAAAGCGTACTGACATTGTTTTGAAGTTCGACAATACTTTTACAATGTTAATACTTTAACATTGTTAGTTACAATGTTAATCTGTGATAGGTAGAATTATATGACACTGAAGGCTCGCTTTTATGGGCGACAGTACGTCGTCGATGAAATGCGGCCTTCGTTTCTTACTCTCCTTTTAGTACAGCTCATTTCCGGATAATAGACGTCGGACACAGTTTCGGTATGAACTCACTGGCGTTAAGACGACAGGCACAGTCCATACATCGTGAAGTTTTTAGAACTGGGTGATTCTGTGGGTTGTTTGTGTGGGAACAACATCATTACCTCACCATTATGCAGCTGCGGCCTTGCTCGAATGGGACACTGATGGATATGAACTGATCCAACGGGCATTTCAGAAGCGATTCTCATCATTTCTATGTTTAGGCTGCGGTTATCAAGGAACATGATTACAAGTGAAAAATGTGCTCACTGTATCAGCTGAGACAGCTGGCCATTAACTTCCGTGCCTTATTTGTAATGCCTTCCGCATAAACGACCGCACAAATCGCAAATCGAGGGACGCTTCGTAACGGAAAGTGACTCGTGGTTTGGTACAACACTGCTGATGCATCGATTGCCAGAAAATGTCAATCGACGAGCTTAGATGAAAGCCACTGGCTCCTAAAATCAAATAATTACGCGATCAAACTGTCGCATCTTGTAGGTCTACAAATCTACCAAATGCCTGTGGATTTAAATGCAATTTCTGGATTACGCGATGTCAGGACGTACTAAATCTCCCTGCCTGAAGTCAGACGACAGGTTCTTAAGCTCTACGTCGTTTACCGTTCGACTGTATAACGCTTCAGTGCGTCCCAGATGCCCCCCCCCCCCCTCCCCCCACCCCACCGGATTCGCATGCATACAGAGCACCGCAGGTTCTGACCCCCACCGCAGGTTCATCACGACCCCCCCAGTACGAGGTTTATCATGAGCCCACCACGGGTTCCTCACGACCCACATCATGGGTCCATCGTGACCCCCACCACGGCTTCACCACGACCCCCAACACGGGCTCATCACAACGTTGACCGTGATCTGGTGCCGACAAGCGCGTCAGAATGAGCAGGCCGGCAACGCCCTCCGTCGCCGTCAGTCCTCCTCGGCAGTGTCCTCCGCCGCCGCCAGTCCTCCCGGCAGTGCCCTCCGCCGCCGTCAGTTCTCTCTGGCAGTGTCCTACCGGTCAGTGTCCTCCGTCTCCGTCGGTCCTCCTCGACAGTGTCCTCCGCCGCCGCTAGTCCTCCCCGGCAGTGTCCTCCGCCACCGTCAGTCCTTCCCGGCAGTGTCCTCCGCCGCCGTCAGTCCTCCCCGGCAGTGTCCTCGGCCGCCGCCAGTCCTCCGCGGACGGCCCCTGAGCGGCACCGTCCGGCCGTCCGGGTCCGTCACGCGGACAAATCTTGCGGCCACCACCAACATGATCAGATAGCCGGCCGGCGTGTCGCCCGTGTCAACGTGTCGTGTCACGTCAGCACAAGGCGTCAATGTGTCGTGTCACGTCAGGTGCTGACTATCGATGACGCCCCTCGCGAGACCCCGATCTCCGCCGAGCTCCGCTGCCGACAGGTCCGGGGGCCAGAAACGGCCTTCCAAGCAGCGGATGATCAGTTGATGCCGGTTGGCGCGATGGCTCAGAATCGCTTAAAAGCACTCGTTTGGTGTGCACTTGGCTCACGATTGCGGTTCGTGACTGGGGTGCATCGCTGCCCCATTTTTTTCTAGATTTCCGACAGACTATTGTCCTGACTGGCCTCTCGCCTATTTATTTTGCATCCGAAAAGCAAATTCTCTAGACATGTGGGCTTTTGCTAAATGCACACATCCTTAATTCGTCTTCTCACCACGCATTTGCGCTTTGTGGATGTATTCCACGGGACGGGCAGGCCTGGGCATTCAACTGAAGACAACCCGGCTCGGCGGCGGATCAAACAGACCTGTACGGGCATGGGCTGCCGCCGAAAGTCAAATGAACCATCAGCGTTTGCATCCACATGCGTATCGCTGGATCCGGTACACGACTGGTCGTATAGCTAGCACGACTCCAGTTGTGGTCGCATGCGGGCGCTGTGATAACGTTGGCCAATGCGGTCGTGTGGTGCATCTCAAACTTGTCACTTGCAGATTCGCGTAGTGTTCAGCTGATAACGACCGGAGGTACGGTAAATGTATGACACGTTATCGGGGGGCGGCGCAAGTTCAACATGCATGCATTCCTCTCATTTTAATTGCTAACCCTTCCGATTCGATGGTGGCGATTGATGATTGGATGACACGGCACCTACATTTGGAGCAGTCAATCATTCGAATAAAGGATGCCACTTTTCCTTGCACTGTGGTGATAATCTTCCCAAAGTTCTTGTGCTACGACTCTGCACTGAATGTATGTAAATTGGCGCCTCCTGCATTTGGAACCGTCCGTATTGCTGAATATCAAAGCTGCACTGTACGTGCCAGCCATTCATGCATCCGCTGCAACATGCTCAGAGCGTTCACAACGTGACCCCCAATGCTGTTCGCGATCGCCGCTTGTGATTTTGACCTCTAAAATCGGCACACGTGGGAGTGGTGCTCCCGTTGTTCGTGGCGATGCCTGGAACGCGTCCGAACGAGCTGATAACAGTATAGGGAACCGAGGCGAGGCCGTCCATCGCGCCGCAAACCCCACAATGGCTCCGATAATGGCCCTGATGGTGGCCGAGGATGTGTAATGAGTGGTAACTGCCGGCCCCGAGCCCGTGGCTGGGAAGGGACGTCGCCAAGACCTGTGGAATCCAGCAACGAGCAGAGCTCCGGGCGCATTCACAAACCACAGCGGCTGTCGTCGGTCTTCCGGGGCTTCCCAATGGTGACGTACTGCGACGTAAGAGGCAAATAACGGCGACTGCGACGCGTCACCGACAGCGAAACAGTCCAGCAGGCCTCGTGCGGCTGCGCTACGTTAAACGCTGTCTCGTTTGGCCCATGCAGCCCGTGCGAGGTGGTCCGTTCGACTCCAGCCGCCCGCGCCGCTGGTCCACAGACCGGCTGCGTGTCGCCGAGTGACCGGGGTCGGGCGGCCCCGGCCGACGGCATTTGACTGCACCCTGAATGGGCACGCATCACGCGAGAGTGCACTGAGCGCGGCCCTCGTTTGGGGAACGAATTCAATGGATGCATGATGTTGTGGCCGCCTGGCATTTAGGAGCGTGACTGGCGGTGCTCGACTCGGCCATCATTGATAATCAATTTGAAATGCGCTTTAAGTGTTACGCATAACTCACACGAAAAAGGCGGGAGGTGCTGAGGATGGCATGCGTGCGCTGCCCGCTGCAGGCAGGGCGGAGAATGGACATGAAGTGGTGGGCGTGGGGCATGACCCACAGAGCGGTGAAGGAAAATGGCCAGGTGACCGTAGCTCAATCGCATCGCTGCACGAAGTAGGCCTCAAACGGGACGAGCAGGAGAGCTGGACAGCACGATCCCCAGGCAATGCGTGTTTTGTGCGGACATTGCTTCCGTAGGCTTAGGAGGCGCAGATGCACGTGTCCAGGAATAGAAAAAACCGCTCACGCCACTCCCTTTAGCGTCGACTACCAACTGATTCGAGAAGTCTACCTTCACAGCTCGTGCAGCTGCGGACCCTTGTCTTTGTTGCGTGCTTCACTGGTCATGTGCACTCGTAGTTACTTGTGTGGGTAGCCGTAGTGTTATCGAATCGCTCGCGGGTAGCAGCTTCACCCGCGCCGTGGTGCGTAGCGGCATGCGTAAGCTAAGTGCTTAAGTGCGTACTGCTCCCTTCTGACCCGCGTTATCCTTTGTTTTCGACGGTAGTCCGTGCCATGGGATAAATAGCTCTTGACGGTACGAACAGCCTGCGTCGCCCGGCGTCCGTCCTCGGGGCGCCGAATGCTCCCTGTTGACCTTGTTGACCTCTATCGTCGGTAGGTATCAGCGCCCTCAGTATAACTGCCCCCAGTTGACCTTGTTGACCTCTGTCGTCGGCAGCCGTCCGTGTTCCAAGTGCCGCCGCTGCGGGCGACCGTGCCGGCGTCCTCCGCGGCCGACAGCATCACCGCCCGCACCATAGACCGCTACTTCAGGGACGAGCTCATTTACAAGCGTAACCGGCGCATGGGGGAGCGCATTCTGGAGCTGCTCTGGACCCACCCGCATACGTCATTCTTCTTCGCGTTCGGAGCAGGTCAGTTGGTCCGCGCTTTTAATCGGGACCTCGTTCAGCAGCAATTGACCAAAGGAACATGCCCGGACGAGGTGACGAACTTGGGCCTTGAAACTTAACGGTCCACGTAGCGGTGAAAACCAGGAGGAACGCCGTCGATATTGCGATGAGAATTAAGGTGTTGCCAGTCTGAGTGC